TCCCAAAATGCCTAGTCAGCCCCTAATTGTGATTTTTTGCTGATGATATAATGATTAAACACCACCGGATTCTCCAACCCCCAAAAACATTCTTAATCATGTACTAGCCTCGTGTCAGGACCTGGGTTGATAATCTCTACTGATAAAACAAAAGATACTCAATGGGCCCGTCCTCCCGACAGAGAGGCACAGTTCGTCAGATCCAGTTGCATGATGGGTCTCTTCTAGAATATGTAAGCAGATAAAAGGTATCTAGGCTTTGAGGTTCCACTACTTGGACCTGTTGTAACAAGACTTTGTCGCCAATACAAAGAACGACTAAGAGCACTTGGGGTTTTGTGGCAGGGCTTCACCCCAGGTATGGTGCTAATGTTATAAAATTGTGAAAATATGTATCTGCTTATATTAGATCATTGGTTGATTATGCTGCGCCACTACTTGCTCTTGTGCTGATGGAGCGGAGGGGGGAAAAAACTGCAGAACGACAGAGGATCATCCTAGGATGCCCTCGTACTGCCAAAATTTTAAATATGAAAAAAAGAACTTGATATTCCAAGCATCAGAGATCGTGTTACTGAAAGAAATATCCTAATTGGGATTAATATGCTCAGGCAAGCTCATTCAAACCCCTGCACAGAAGCCCTCCAAATTTTCCCTCCACACTGGTGAACACTCCTCCAGATGGATCGAAAAGACGGGAAAACCGACCCCCGCATGAATCAGATACAGATCTATGTCAAGTAAGGAAAACAGCGGCACTTCTCCCCCAGGAATATTACCCCATTCCAAACTAACCATTCCTCCTTTCCCCCCCCAAATACTTCTTAAATCACAACCAAAAAACTTCGCCTTGAAGCCAAACAGGGGGCCTTTTAAGCTGTATTGATAACTTAGTCACACAGCACACACTCTCGCAAATTATTTACGTTGATGGTTCTGTTCACCAATCCACTGGTGCAGCTGGTAGTGCTGCGTTGTCGTACAGAGTGATGGCTCTCTTAAAGAAATTGGAGCACGCATCAATAATTGGGCCTCTACCCTTCAGACAGAACTGTTTGCCATACTCCTTGCACTGAAATGCATCTATGTATCAAAGATTGACAGTTTAATTGTAACTGATTCTCTGTCATCCATAAATGCTCTCAACTCATTAAGCATAAATTGTGGCATGCTTATGTCAGAAGCCAGACACAGGTATGGTAGGATTGTGGACAGTGGAGTCAGAGTGCACATGCTGTGGATTCCATCTCACATTGGTCTTCAGATGCATGATAGAACTGATAAATTGGCTAAGCTGTATGCTTTCAAAGTTGAAAGTTAGTTAGTTTAATATGTTTATTATGCACCCCATACCCATCCTGTGGGCGGTAGTCAAAAGATTACAGAGGTACATAATTGGTCCAGGGACTGGAATCAAAACTTTGGAGTCCAGTCCCTGGACCAATTATGTACCTCTGTAATCTTTTGACTATCGTCCACAGGATGGGTATGGGGTGCATAATAAACATATTAAACTAACTAACTTTCAAAGAGGGAGTAGATTACAATCTTGGCTTGTCAGGTAGTAGTTTGAGAATAATACGAAAAGAACTTCAGCTGAATTTTATGGACTTAAGGCTCAGGGAGATTGACACCAGTGAGTCCATCTATCATCATTCTATCATGCAGGAGGAGCCACATGTCTATGGTGCATCCAACAAAATAAGCAGACTCTTGGATGTCACTACTGCCCGGCTCCGGCTGGGTTACAAGTATCTTTGGCAGGTTAAATCACCACCACCAGATGTAGACCAAACGAAATGTAAACTTTGCCAGATGGATTATTGTCACACCCTGCGTCATTATGTACTGGAGTGCGATAAAATTAATGAATTTAGAAACAACTCACTCAGAAGTGTTCAAGAAATGGCTAAGTATTTTATCCACAGTGGTATATTACAGACCATTCTGGAGAAATACCCTGACTTTGCTAGCTGTAAATAAAGCATTACCACA